GCAAGGACCGCCCAAGCCCCCTTCGGGTAAGGCTGGGCCGGGAGGGGTCGGGAGCCTTGGGCCTGCACCCCGAGGGGGCCGATGTCGGGATACCCGGGGCCTGGCCCGGGGTGGCCGCGGTCGGGAGCCTTGGGCCTGCACCCCGAGGGGGCCGATGTCGGGATACCCGGGGCCTGGCCCGGGGTGGCCGCGAAGTGGCCGATCTCTGGGCTTGTCCGCTGAGATCGCTGGGCCCACGCCGCAGCGAGCCCCGGCCTCACGGAGCCGGCTGGGGGGGGGGGGGCCGTGGGGGGGGGCGGCCTCACGGAGCCGGCTGGTGGGGAGGAGCCTGTGGTGGGGGACGGGGAGGGGTTGCAGAGAGGCACCGGCGAGGGGAGCGGGAGCTTTCGAAACGCTCCTGGGGGAGGAGAAGAGGCTGGGAAAAGGAGGCAGAAGCTCGGAGAGAGTGTGAAGTTACCGAGTGGGGGGCACCCGCGTGCCCATGGTGCCTGGCCGGCCCCGCCCGGGAGTCTTCTGCTGCCTCGCCGCCTCGGGTGGGGGAGGGGCGGGCCCTGCGGAAGCCGCCTGGTGAGTCCTCTTGGGTATCCCTCTCGGCCTGCAGGGAGGTTTTCAAAGCTAAGCACCGCAAGACTGGCAAGAAGGTGGCTCTGAAGAAGGTGCTGATGGAGAACGAAAAGGAGGGGGTGAGTACAGTATGGGTGGGCAAGCCTGCTAGCTGTCCTGAGTATAGAGCCAGGTTCCTGCTTTACTTTTTCTAGGAGTTTCATACTGAGATTTAATTTATATGTATTAGTTTGAAAATTTCCATATCGCAGGGAAATTGGCCTCCAACCTGTATCTTTTTCATTGAGATGATCTGAAGCATTTGATGTTTCATTCTTGGGTAAATATGATTGGCTAAGGCCAGGAGGGGGAGCTCATCTTTGCATTGAGTGTACCTTGGTTCTCAAAGTCCGAAAGCTTTTCAACACTTTTTTCTTAACATTTATATTAGCTTGATGTGATGTAAAAGAAAAGAAAAATGCATGCAGGCAGTTTTTGAAAAAGGGCCCGGGACTAGCAGTTAGCGTAGTGGCTATATCGCTGAACTCCCATGTAGTCGACTGTGGTTCGAGTCCCAGACCCAGTGGCTTAAACTCACGCCAGGTGTGTGTATGTGCATCTGTGCATGCCCAAGATCCCGAGGGGAGAATGGAGGAGAAGGGATTATGGCATGGCCATCCCCCCCCCCCGGGGGGGGGTTTTTCGC